TCCCTTTAGCAAGAAAGAGACACAATGAATATGTTGGCAGGCCTGTCAAGGAATTAAGACCCATTTAGCCTTTCGATAGCATCTCCAAGTTACTGCAGATGCCACGAAGCTCTCTGAACCATCAGAAGAAAAAATTGATGCTTGATGTTGTCCTGTAGCCATTACTCTCAAGTTCCAAATAACTAGAACAGGACTCATTCGAATTGGATATTTACAAAAATGGGCTCACCCCCTAACTGTCACAGTCAGGGTCCCCAGCTGCTCCACACAAGCAGAATTTGCTGGACACTCACTCTGCTCTAGACGTGAAGAAGTAAGCACAGCATTGCTGTTGGTAAAAGCGTCCCCTCTGACCTGGAGCAATCAGCCACATTTTCCTTCCTTTGGCCAGGTGTCCCCAGACGTGGATCGTTTCTCCAACAGTTGTCCCTCTGTGTCATACAGGTCCAGTCCCACTTCAGTGGTTACGGCTGGGCTGTCAGTGTCCCTTCTCATAATTAGCAAAGGAGCTGGTAACAGGATGAAGCTGGAGATTGCTCTCTCTGTGAAATGCGCGTGGCTTTGTTTGCAAGATGAGCTCCATCCCCACTGCTCTAACTGGCAGCAGAATTGCCAAAGCCGTTCTGTGACTGGATAGGACTTTTCCTCCAGGAACCTTGTAGCTGTACTGCTGTGGAAACACAGTTACCCTCCCCCGTGGTCAGGTTTCCGACAGCTTTTGCTGTGGAACAGTTTGAAGAGTAGAGAGCCCTGTTTGGGAGACAGGGAAGTGTTTTCACACCTGAAGTGTAATTTCACACCTTCTGTTCCTCGGCAGATAAGTGCATAAAATAACACATCAAACCGGAATAGAAAAAAGATCAACATACAAAGAAAACTGCAGGTTGTAATTTGCTCCCTATCTTACAATGCTCTGGGAGAGAACAGTGAATTAGAGCTCTGGGTTTATAATTCACAAAGTTTGACTGGTCGTTAGGTGGGGAAGTGAGGGATAAACACTAATCAGCTTGCTGCCTGCCTTGAACACAGTGTACAGAATGACACAATTTGGGCAACATCCAAAGCTTTTAATTTTTTTTTAAGGATTGCTATGAACATGTTAGTAGTAAGAATTGTCATTCAAGGTCAGGAAATTGATGAATGGAATGACTTTACCAAGAATATAATTTAGGAGATAATGTTTTTTTTGTAACAGTCCATTCAGGAATTTTCCTAAAAGTGGACCTTGTTGGTAGAATTTAGACATTTTCCTTTTTTTTTTTTTTTTTTGTATAAACAGCATATACAACGATTTTACAGCATTGTAGTTCCAGGGTTACAAAATAAGAGTTTAGCTTCAATTAACAAGTTTAAAAACTTGAGATCAAAGGAAAAACAAAATTCGAACTCCTTCACTGGTCATAAACATTCAAGGACAGAGTATATTAGTTGATGTCTGCAAGGTGTTAGCCGGGGTTTTCGGGGTGGGCACGGAGGCAAATGGGAAAAGTCCTTCTCTACACCAATGGGGGACTGACACTCTTGGCATTTACACAGACAGGCAATGATAATGCTGGGTGGATGAGTGCTGGACTGGATTGCATGAGATTGTGGTGGGGGCCAGAGAAGGGTTTTCTGAGTCAGAGTTGTTGTGTGTGGGGAAAAGAGGTCCCCAGCGATTCCAAGACAAAGTGATATGAAAGTGGAAATCAGGATATGAGCACCTGAAGAGCAGGTACAGGACTGAAGGAGAAAGGGCAGGTGGGCTGGCGAGAAGGAGGTGGTTTGGTAGAGTGGGGCAGTAGGTTAAGCCACTGCTTGGGACGCCTGCATCCCATATCAGAGTGTCGGTTTGAGTCCCAGCTCCACCACTCCCAATCCAGCTTCCTGCTGATGCACCTGGAAGCAGCAAATGATGGCCTGAGTACTTGAGGTCCTGCCATGTATGTGAGAAACCCAGATGGAGTTCCTTGTTACAACTGTGTCCCGGCCCAGCTATGGCTGTCCCTGGCATTTAGAGAGTGAACCATCAGATGGAAGATTGATCTCTCCATCTGTCACTCTGCCTTCCAAATAAAAATAATAACAAGTAACTGTTGGTGGGAATGCAAACGCGTACAGCCACTGTGGAAGACAGTATGGCGATTCCTTAGAAAGCTGAAAATAGATCTACCATCTAAACCAACCCTCCCACTCCAGGGAACTTCCACAAATTAAATGAAATCTGCATATGAAAAGTCATCTTTACCCCATGGTTATTGCAGCTCAGTTCACAATAGTGAAGATATGGGATCAACCCAGATGTCCACCAACCAGTGCCTGGGTCAATAAAATGTGGTGTATATACACTATGGAATAATACTTAGCCATAAAAAAGAATGAAACCCTCCTTTTTGCAACAAAATGGATGCAACTGAAAACAGTTTTACTAGTGAAATAAGCTTTTTTCTTTATCAGTGGTAACTAATAGAGTACAAAAAATTTATATGAGTAAATTGGCATTTTGAGATTTGATTGTTGTTTATAGCCCTGTCTCTGCTGTTGAGGAACAGTGAATCTTTTTTTTTTTTTTTTTTTACAGGCAGAGTGGACAGTAAGAGAGAGAGACAGAGAGAAAGGTCTTCCTTTTGCTGTTGGTTCACCCTCCAATGGCCGCTGTGGCTGCGCTGCGGCTGGCGCACCACGCTGATCCGAAGGCAGGAGCCAGGTGCTTCTCCTGGTCTCCCATGGGGTGCAGGGCCCAAGCACTTGGGCCATCCTCCACTGCCTTCCTGGGCCACAGCAGAGAGCTGGCCTGGAAGAGGGGCAACCGGGACAGAATCCGGCACCCTGACCGGGACTAGAACCCGGTGTGCCGGCGCCACAAGGCGGAGGATTAGCCTAGTGAGCCACGGCGCCGGCTAGTGAATCTTCTTACTATTTGTTGAATTCTTTACTTAGTAGAGGGTTAAGTTTATGATTATAAAATAAACAGAGTATGTCATTGTAAAAATTAAAGAATAGGAAAGGAAGGAGGAGGGAGGGTGGGAGTGTGGGCAGGAGGGAGGGTAGGGTAGGAAGTATCACTATGTTCCTAAACGTGTATATATGAAATGCATGAAATATATTCACCTTATATAAATAGAAAATTGAAAAAGAATTAGAATGGAGAGTGAGCAACAAGCCTGAAAAATAATCAAGACCAGAGTACAAAGTCTACCCCAACAAATTTAGCTTTTATCCTGAGACTAGGGGAGGTAGTGATGACTTAGTGTTTATGCGTTAGCAAGCGTGACATGGCCAGATCTGCCTTTTATGAAGATCACAGTCAGAGATCAGTGAGGTCATTATAGGCAAGAGATACTGCTGACCCGAGTTTAAGTGTACATGGCAAGGTAAGGGACACTGTGGGTGGAAAGAAGTGGGGAGATTTGGGAAGTATTGAGGAGGATGAATCAACAGAACTTGGTGATTTATCAGGGGCACTTAGGGTAAGGAAGCCAATTTTGTCAAAGAAAAGTCCTGATTTCTGACTTGAATAATTGAGTGAATGATGCTATTACTCTCAGAGCTGGGGATGTGTTGAGTATAACATGTGTGTGGAAGGTCCAAAGAAGAAACATTGTTCAGCTGGATCTTTTTATTAAAGATTTATTTATTTATTTGAAAGTCAGAGTTGCACAGAGCGAAAAGGAGAGGCAGAGAGAGAGAGAGAGAGAGAGAGGGTTCTTCCATCCATTGGTTCACTCCCCAGTTGGCTTCAACAGCTGGAGCTGGGCCGATTCAAAGCCAGCAACCAGGAGCCAGGAGCTTCCTCCAGGTCTCCCATGCAGGTACACAGGCCCAAGCACTTGGGCCATCTTCTACTGCTTTCCCAGGCCATAGCAGAGAGTTGGATCGGAAGTGCAGCAGCCTGGACTTGAACCGGTGCCCAATGGGATGCTGGCACTGCAGATGGTAGCTTTACCTGCTACACCACAGTGCCAGCCCTAGCTGGATCTTAAGTTTAGGAGAAAGTCTTCGCCATGAATTTGGAGTTGGCTGTCATGTCATTAAAGCCATGGGAGTGGATGAAATGGTCCAAAGTCTAGGTAGAGAGTGAGAAGAGAGGAGGCTGTTTAATTCAGGCATAAAAATATAAATTCACTATGAAAAGAAAGCATATACAGAGAAAAATGTGTGTATTATTTTGTTACATAAATAAAATGTAGATGAAAGACTGTGCATGTCCATAAATACTATTGTACATATGCCCATCTTGTAGGTATGAGGAGATTTGAAAATGTGTGTGGAAAATAGAATTAAAATGTTTATTTTGGCACAAAAAAAGTTGGAATCCATGAATAGTTTTTTCATTATACATAGTTTCTATGAACTTTGTGAAGACCCCCAATATGCATGGATTTCAACATTCTGTTTTTGCACCCAAATAAGGTCATCTTTAAATTCTCTTTTCCAAAAATCTTTTGATGTCCCCCTTTTTTTAAAAAAAATTATTTGAAGGAGAGAGTTACACACACACCAACATGCCTTCTGTCTGCTTATTTACTCCTCAGATGGTGGCAGTGGCTGCACCTGGTTCTGGCAGAAGCCAGGAGACCAGAGCTCCATCTGGGTCTCCCACGTGGGTGGCAGGGGACCAACAAGCATTTTGGTCATCCTCTGCTACTTTCCCAGGTGCATTAGCAGGGAGCTGGGTCAGAAGCAGAGCAGCTGGGACTCCAGTCGGCACTCCGATATGGGATGCTGGCAAGCAGGTGTCAGCTTAACGTCCTGCTGTGCCACAGTGCCAGCCCCAGATGTGCCGTTCTGTACAGCCTTTGCGGGTAAGGGTTCTAGAACACCAGCAAGGTTCCAGAAAGACATCTCCCTGGCATATTAGATCTCCGAGGTAATAGTCCCCTTCCTTATTCACGTAAGGTGTGTCAGTTCAACAGCAAGAACCAGGCCTAAGGAATTTGTAGTCTGTATATAATATGTCAACTGAAGTAGCAAACCAGGAAGCACTGACTCTCTCACCCCACCGCTCTGCTTTGTCTTAGATACATACGGAAAACTCTTCCTCCTCAATTCTGTGGGTCAAGAGATGTCCCGTTGCAAGACATCCCTTCGGCGTGGCCAGCCCAACCCTGTCTACAAGGAGACCTTTGTGTTCCAGGTGGCCCTCTTTCAGCTGTCTGACGTCACCTTGATGGTTTCCATTTATAACAGGCGTAGTATGAAGCGTAAAGAGATGATTGGCTGGATCGCTCTGGGCCAAAATAGCAGTGGAGAGGAGGAACAAAACCACTGGGAGGAGATGAAAGAGAGCAAAGGCCAGCAGATCTGCAGATGGCACTCTTTGCTGGAATCCTAGGTTTGCCAACTGGTGTTTGTGTGCTGTGTCCGCCTCCTTGCTGGCTACTGATGCCCTGCTTGGCAGGGTTTCCAGGCTTTCAAATGGAAATTCTACTTTGCCTAAGATATTCTGAGTGGGAGCTTTGGGTTTCTCAAAGGTTTGATTTGGGTTGGAATATTATAATTTTAGACATCTACATACGCAGCCATGTGTCCTGTATGGAAACTGGCCATAATGGAGGCCAGAGTGGAGGTGATGAATTGATTTGCGCTAATAGATTATTGAGTCTCAGCTCACACTGTGGAATGAAGCTTCTCTTATTGTCTCTGCCTGAGGAGTAATCTGACATTGCAAGGGAGCTATTAAATGTCACTAATTGCAGCCACTTAGGTGTTTGAATCAGAATTTTCTTAATGTGGTGCAAAAAAACTCCAAAATACAAATGAATCAGATGCTGACACAGAAGAATGCAACTGTAATCCATAGCCCCTTCTTTCACATTTTTCTGTTTCATTAAAAAATCCATTTCCCTAACAAGTAAATGTTTAAAAAATTGCACTTAAAATAAATTTGTATTAATTAATATCTTTTATATCTCATTTATAAATTTTGGTTACTATGATATTTAATTAGATTTATCATATTTTGAAGCTAGAAAAGAGTTTAGAACTTACTATTATCAAATAATTTGTCTCCTTTTGAATATGTAAGATTTCAAGTTTGTAACTGTTAAGTTTTTTATGCTATGTTGCTCACCTAACAACTTCTTACAGAACGAGAAGAAAACTAAAGCCAAGAGGAAGTTCTTTAAATCATGGGTTGACTGGTTTCTCTCAATCTGATTGTATCTGGATTATACCTTTTCTATATTCAATGATCCATACTCATACATGTATTTTGGATATACTCCTTCATGCTCTCTTTTAATGTACTATTTTCCATTATCAGAGCCTACTGACTTGCACACAGTGGTTCCTTAATAAATATTTATTTTATGGACTCTTGGAAAGAAATATGTGAAGACCCGTGAATGGAGAATTACTTTCATGTGGTATGGAGAGACCCTAAATTTTCAGTTGGACCTTTGAAGTGCCTATAACTCATTTTCCACAGCCTTTGCGGCAACCTGGATACCTGCCATTGACAACACTGCTCTTGTATGGTTATAAACATGCAGTTTTACTTATGAATGATTTTTATATATTTATTCAGTGCATGTATTTTTTCCTTATTCTCAGATATGAGCCCTTAATTTTGATTACTTTATTGACAGTAATTAAAACATACAGGGAAGGAAGGGGTGTCCATTTAACCCTGGGTCCAACGTGCACCTCTTCTGAGCAATGGCTTAGCTACTTATTTTAGCTTTTATGTTGCATTGTTGACTTTTTGCTGTCTGTGGGAAGAGTGATAGCTAGTGATGGATGTATACAGTCAAAAACACATAACACCTCGGCAGCTCACATTTGGACAGATTGTAAGCGTAGGCTGTAACACTTGAAGAACATATTTATCCCTTACAGTGTGTAATGGTTATTCTGACAAGACCAGACGAGGGCACAGGATAACTGTACTACGATTTCAGGGTTCAGTCTTTGAAAGAAATGATTTCCTATGGAAAAAGCAGGATTTGCAAAATAGATATCTTCATTTTTTTTAAAGGTCCTGGGGGTTTTATAGATCCTACTGCTCAGTCATTCAGATTAAGTAATAAAACCATACTCCTCTGGGTTTTTACCCCAGCTTTCTTAGGAAGACCTCAGAGTGCTTTTTCCAGCATTATCTCCATTAACTGCTGAGTGGTCTTTGCAGGGTGGCTATGTCATTGAGTAGAACTGAGTGCAATTGATGAAGTAGTGGCGCAAAGAATTGGCTTTTCACATCCCTGCTCTCTGTATGCCTTGTGTTTAAAGCGAAGTAGAGCAGCCTTGTTATGCTTTCCTTTATGCAGTAACATAATAGCAGCATTCACTTTCTAATTTACATTTGAAAAAAAAATCTGTATATATTGCAAGGATTGCCTCGGACTTTTCCTCCTATATCTTTCTGATCTCCATGTTGCTGCATCCATGTTTCACGGTGCCAATAATCACCCCTACTGCCTTTCTGCTTCCTTGGCTGGCTCATGTTGAAGATTTCTGCTGGTGTGGTAAAGATGTCCTTGTGTGTTTGATTTGCTTCCACTGCTCTGATGATGATACCATACACAGGAATGGGTAGCACTTTAAGGGAAGGAATGCCTGAAAAGCACTTTTTAAAATTTTATTGTGCTGCTGCGACTCAATATATAGGATGTGTGTACATCTTGGCGAGACAGAAACATCAACGTATTCACGCTCAGCTGATTGTTTAAACATAAAATGCTAAAGACAAGATACATTAGAATATGAGGCTGTGTGTGTTTCTTTTTTTTTTACTTTGAATTAACATTCTAGTTTAGTAGGATCTTTTGATTTTGTGCACTTAAACTCCCTTATTTTCTTGGCAAATTCTAGACACAAAATGCATTTAACGTGTTTTTCACTTGAGATCTTACATCTCCAGTTGCTTCTCAAAAGAGTTATGAAAGATAATTAGTTGGTTCTGCAGCAAAAAAAAAAAAAAAAACTGCTTTTGCCTATTTCATTTAGCTAATGATTAATATCTCAGAGGGAGCTTTGACATTGGAGCAGCACCGGCTTTTTGTTGCATGAGTAGCTCTTTCAGCGATTTTCCCTCAAGAGTATGCTTCTTAAATAATATTACTGAGAGTAAATGATGCACTAGGTTTATGGAAATCTGCTTCATAGTGTGCCTTCTGAATTGAGAAATACTGGTGTCACCAACGACGGTGGTGGCTGTTGTATTCTTTGCTCCCCTCTGACTATCGCTGAATTTTTAAATGGACCATTCAGCAGGCAGCCAAACACCTGCTCTCAGTCCCCTTTCCTCCACTGGCTCCCAGGGTGATGCACAGTTGTTTTGGATCCTGCTTTTGCTGATGCTGCATAACTGTAAGAGAGCTTTCCCTTCGCTAACGTCTGAAGAATGCATTTGGATGGAGAAAGGGTCTTCAACACGTTCATGGAAAATGTGTATTTTGGGAAAACTGTGCATGAATTTCAAAAAGCATTGTGTACCGACACTTATGTTTTAGTTCCATTTTTTCATGAACTTTTTAAAAAGTGCCCTCGTGTTATACTGGGCATCCTACCTGCACAAAGTCTGAGCAATGGATCACCGCTTTTGCAAGAGGAAAAGAGAGGATGATATTGTCATTCATTTTAGGCACTATGAAGTCTGACAACTTTCAATGGCGGTGAACTGATTGATCTCAGACATTGATATTCTCTCTAGTGCTGGGTGCTGCGACGAGCCTGGCACACCATTACTGCCTTTTTTTTAACATGGGGCTCTCACATTGTCTTATAAATTATCATTACCTCTCGGTCAGTCATTGGGCTTGAAACCCAGTGTGGCTGCACTGGATGATCTTATCTGAGAACCAAAAGTCTCTTCCTTTCAAGTAAATAATTATTTAAGTAGGGGCTACTGTAAGAATAGGTGAAGGCATTTCTCAGATGACCAGAAAACTGTATTTAATTGATGAGTCCATGTGGGCATCCAACTGTGGGTTTCCCACAAACTTGGCTATCTTTTGCAGCAGAGGACTCTGTAAGGAAAACTAGGAAAGGTGGATAAGAAAGAATTATTTGTAAGTGGCATAAAATTAAATGGAGGCATATTCTTTCCTGAAAAGCCAGTAAGACTAGAAAACACATATGGTATCTCTCCTTGCTTTTGAGCGAATTGTGTAAAGAATGTTCCATTCTATTTGATCCAATAAAAAAGCAAGTGACAAGTAATCCTGAAATGGCAAAACAAGTATTTTTATTGTTTGAAAAAGTAATTATTTGCTTAGGTGAAACTATAAGAAAACACCCCAGATGACTTACAGTTCATGTGTCATGTACATGGAAGATAAGAAATCGGTATGTTGGAAATGTTTTGCGTTTGCAGGTGTGTATTCAAGAAGAGTAAACCAATGAAGTAGACAATATTGCAGATTAGCTATTATTTTTTTCACAGTCTGTAAAATTCTGGAAAATACTTGAGGATGGGGTCATTGTATCTGCTCTTCCACAGTGAAGTTGGCCCAACTCGGAGAGTTGGAACAGGCTGTGGTCTCAGCCTGGGTTTGGATGGAACTCTACTAACTGTGCGGCCTTAAGAAGATTATTCAACCAACCTATGTCCCAGACTCTTCAACTGGAAAATAAAAATCATGTCTACCTCTTAAGGTTTTAAAATAGGCATTAGTGTAATGTGCCTAGCATAGAGCCTGGTGTATAGTTAGTATTCAGTATTCACTCTTCACAATCATGCTTGAAAAAGAAAATTAAAAAAAAAAAACACTTAGGTTATATTTCTCTTTGCAGAAAAAATAATGATAAGACTAGAGAAAAACTTAAAAATAATTTTCAGATATTTTAAAGTGGGTAGACTAATGAAGCCAGAGCATATTTGTCAAGAAAATAGGTCTCCTTAGGGCAAGCTAATCAGAGGTAACCCTGATATTTGGAGGAAAGTGAATCTTAATAGATTGGAACTGAGATGGAGCCAAATGTTTGTCTTTTATCTCCTTAGTTTGCAGGGGATGCCAAACCTTGGTGCTTGTGTGTATCTCTTGATATTTCACACATGGGATCTTTCTTCACTTCCTGCTCTACTTTACCATTGACAAATGGGCAGGGCACCTTGCACCCCCATTAGAAGAGTTGATAAAGAGGGCAACTTGGCCACATTTTTCAACTCTGACCTAAAAGAGTAAAGCAAATGTTATTACTCTATACTGACATTCTTTGGATTGTCTTTAGTTTTACCTACATTATCCATTTTATATCATGATACACACATTTGCATATGGTTTATTAATAATTAAAATGTATCTGTTTGGAAAGTTCTATTCAAAACCAGTTATCATTATTTCCATTAAGAGGCTATCATGATGGGAATTCTGTCATTTAACACTAATTCCTTTTGAAGGGGATTTTTGAATGATTTGATATAAAGGAAAGCATGTTTAGTTGTTCTCAAGTTATTCATACCTTGAGTAGAGAGGACATTTTTAGAAAAATCTTTATCAACATTTGATCCAGAGATGACATCAGAAACAAACCACTTCAAGTTTATTGCAACCAGCTGCCTTGAACTAGTCAGGAGCTGTGTGTGTGTGTGTGTGTGTGTGTTTTAAGATTTTTTTTAGGAGTCGGTGCTGTAGTATAGCAGGTAAAACCACCACCTGCAGTGCTGGCATCCCATATGGGCACCTGTTCAAGTCCTGGCTGCTCCAATTCCAATCCAGCTCTCTGCTATAGACTGGAAAGCAGTAGAAGATGGCTGAAGTCCTTGGCTCCCTGCACCTGCGTGGGAGACCCAGAAGAAGCTCCTGGCTCCTGGCTCAGAGCAGCGCAACTCTGGCCATTGTGGCCAATTGGGGAGTGACCCAGTGGATAGAATACCTCTCTCCCTCTCTCTCTCTCTCTCTCTCTGCCTCTTCTTCTCTCTCTGTGTAACTCTGACTTTCAAATAAATAAATAAAATCTTTTTTTTTTTTTAAGATACAGAGAGAAGGATATACAGAGAGAGAGGTCATCCATCTGCTGGTTCACTCCCCAAATGGCCACAACAGCCAGAGCTGGGCCTATTCCAAGCCAGGAGCCAGGAGCTTCCTCCGGGTCTCCCACATGGATGCAGGGGCCCAAGCACTTGGGTCATCTTCTACTGCTTTCCCAGGCCATAGCAGAGAGCTGGATCAGAAGAGGAACAGCCGGGACTAGAACTGGAGCCTATATGGGATGCCGGCACCACAGGTGGGAGATAGCCAGGTACCAGCCCCTACATGTAGTTTTAAGCTAAAAGTGATTCTGGAATGAGGACCAGTGAGACTACATCCTAAATATTATTGAATTACCGAAGTGCTGTCTCAAGTTCTAGGTTTCCCACCTAAGGGGAAACATGAAGACATTGGAGAAAAATCACCTAGCATAAGACTTTTACTTGAAAGTATGAGAGTTACTTCAGTTGGTGGGAAAAATAATTAAAAGATAGGTTTATTTTGGTGCAAAAAATTCTGAATTCCATGCATTCACGCTATTGTCAGACAACTGATCGAAATGTATATTATGAAAACTATGCCTGGATTTCAATATTTGCAGCAAAATATGCTGATTTTACATTCTACATTTTGTTTGAGTAAGAAGAGGGAGAGAGGGTGGAGTTGGGGAGAGAGGGAGGAAGAGAGCGAGCGAGCAAAGTAACTCTCATCTGCCCACACATCAAGGGGCTTGGGCCACAGCTGAAGCCTGGAGTTTGGAGGGCCATCCATGGGGGTGGCAGGAACCCAATTACTTGAGCCATCACTACTGAATCCCAGGGTATGCATTAGCAGGAAGCTGGAATCTGGAGCCAGAGCTAGGAATTGGAGATAGGGTATCTTGGCTGCTAGGGTCAATACTCACTTCTTGATTCTGTTTTTCTTTTTATTTACTTACTTACTTACTTATTTATTTTGACAGGCAGAGTAGACAGTGAGAGAGAGACAGACAGAGAGAAAGGTCTTCCTTTTGCCGTTGGTTTACCCTCCAGTGGCCACTGTGGCTGGCGCGCTGCGGCCAGTGCACTGCGCTGATCGGATGGCAGGAGCCAGGTGCCTCTTCCTGGTCTCCCATGGGGTGCAGGGCCCAAGGACTTGGGCCATCCTCCACTGCACTCCCTGGCCACAGCAGAGAGCTGGCCCGGAAGAGGAGCAACCGGGACAGAATCTGGTGCCCCGATCAGGACTAGAACCCAGTGTGCCGATTCTGTTTTTCCATGAATTTCATGAAGTAGCCTCATCATTTAAGGCATGTTAAAGGAGTAGAACAAAAGGTGAGAAATCTGTGTAGTGCTTTCTAGTAAGATTTCCCAGAATGTGGCATTCTAACAAAAGAATGGTGTGCACTTTCTCTGCCTGACCACATAGAGCCAGAGCATCCACCTAAATCGAGTCCAAGGAGTTTAACTGAGATACAGGGAGAATTACACAAAACTTGTTTCTTATTAATTCAAAATGTATTCATTGGATTTCCTTTGCTTACCACTGTGCTATTTGGGATGGCACAGAACTTAAAATCTTTTTGGATTACACAGTGAAGCATTAGTCATCATAATGAAAACAACAATGATGACCAACGTGTAGTTGTTAAATTGGACTAATTACATGCCATAAACAGCAGAGTTCCTGCTAAGGGGTATTGGAAAGAGGTGAAATATAGTGGCTGAATGACTGGGAGAACTCCTACAAAGCCCCAGACTTTGCAGTGAGCCTTGGTTGCATTAGAGAGGGAATTGCTGAGAGAGCCATAGGGTCATCATCTTCAGAAGTCTTTTAAGATAGAAAAAGCTGCTTCAAGTGTTGCTTCTGTCCAAAGTGGAATGAGAGGGCACCCTGGACGACAGCTTTTATCAAGTTCCTTCTAAGTCTAGTATTGTGTGGGTAACCTCGAAACAGGATCCATAATAGCAGCACTCCAGGCCTGTCCTCCTCCTCTGTGGGCATTTTTTTTTTTTCAACATTGATTTTTCTCTGAATCATAGAAGGTTTCCTCTGGGGAGTTCCTGCGTGGGTTTCGTTTAGGTGACTTTGGGGATGTCTGCAGGCTCCAGGTGAATTTCCTCTCCCATGGTGCTTTGAATGTTTTGTGTCCCTTGGGTCACAAAGCGGTATCCTAGACACACGGACAATAGTCACCTGTATTTATAGCCACAGTGGAAGCTGTGAAACCGTTGGAGGCTTTGTAGGACAAGCTCATGGCCTGTTAGGAAGCCCTGTGGATGTTCTTAGGCTAGAACTGCTGCTCACTGCTCTCTGCTGTCCGTCGCTCACTGATGCTGCCTCGTGGTGTCTCCGTGGGAGTTTTTGCTTCATGCCTTCGAGTGGCAGTGTTACCAGTTCTACTTTGAGGATGCTTACAAGGCCAGTTTCCCACTGGCGTGGCCCTGTATGTTCATTATTTTTGGTTACTTCATTTCCCCTTAGAGTATCTTCTACTTTACAGTTCTCCTTTCTTTATATACCATTTATTCCTTCAAAAGATGTTCAAGTGTAATACGTTCAAATATTCCACTAGTTCTGATAAGAACTCTAGGCTAATGATAAAATCCTTCATTATCCTTTAACTTTGTCTTAATGTATTTCTGTAATGGCTTCTTTCCCCCTCTGGAAGGGAGAGGATTTATGGAACCCAGAAGTTGTTCTTCTGTCTCTAGTTAAGAAATAAATATACTTGTTTGTTGGTCTATGCTTCTCTTCAAAATAATTGGACGTGTTTTGTTTGTAAGGGAGGAAATGTAGCATTTCATTTCTAGCATGAAACAGAAGTTAGGTAGTTAGTATTTTTGAGTTTTGTTTATATATTTGACTTTTATAGTTGAATATGCAATGCCCTTTGTGGAGCCGGCGCCATGGCTCATTTGGTTAATCCTCCACCGGCGGCGCTGGCATCCCATATAGATGCCAGTTCTAGTCCCGGTTGCTCCTCTTCCAGTCCAGCTCTCTACTGTGGCCCAGGAAGGCAGTGGAGGATCGCCCAAGTGCTTGGGCCCCTGCACCTGCATGGGAGACCACCTGGCTCCTAGCTTTGGATTGGCGTAGCTCTGGCCGTGGCGGCCATTTGGGGGGTGAACCAACAGAAGGAAGACCTTTCTCTCTGTCTCTCTCTCTCTCTCTCTCACTGTCTAACTCTGTCAAGTAAATTTTAAAAAATTATTAAAAAAATGCCCTTTGTAAGGCAGCAAGTTGGACCCTGGAATGCTGTGTCTGTACAAACAAACATGACACAGTTTTTACATGCTCTGTGTTTTAGTAGTGAAAGTCACTCCCAGAATGAACTGGAGACCATAGTTGCCAGAAAAAGATGTGAGAGTGTTAACAAAAAGCCTTGCTTACCTCTCTGTCTTTAAAATTAGTCGTAGTTACCGAAAACTAAGCACATTTGGGGCGCCCTTAAGAAATGAATCAGGGGCAGCATTGAGCATGTTCTTCCTGTGGAAAATGGACCAGTCGTTGTTTTACAGTCTCAAACACTCTTAAGTCAGACTGAATATGACTCCTGGTGCCTTTGACTTTATAACAAGAGACACAAAATAGGAGTTTCCACAGTAGAATTATTGCTTGTAATTCTTCACATCATAAAAGCTAATCTATTGCTAAATCTCTTAAGCCACACAAGTCAGAACCTTTGGTGGCCCGAAAGTTCATACTAAAGTTGGTCTCAAGATTGTCTGTAATCTAAAAAGTGCACATCTCTGACATGAGAAAGACCTTGATTTTTAAGAAAAGACAGCAGAAGGCTGCCAGCAAAAATTCCAGTTATGCGGGGGAACATTTACACTAGAAGAAAGACATTTGTGTTGGTTATTCTGTGTAACCTAGTCACATCCGGAAGCCACATTTCTGCAGACTGCTTCTTTGACAAGTTCCTTATAGCTGGCACGTTGAATGGGCTTGCTGATTTTTGCTACATTTCCCAATGGTCCATGATAATGTTTGCTGTTTTGCAACTCTACTGAATTATAATGCAGTCTTTTATAATGCCAGCATATTAATGCAGCTGTAAGTTAGATTCCATTATTATAAAATGTACTTTCCAAAATTTTAAAATCTGATTTTGTTGTAGTTTTTTAATATTTTAAGTTTGTAAATAAGAAATTAGTATTTGTATATTTTATTAGTGACAGAAATTTTTCATCATTTTACTGGAATAATATTTGATCTGTATTTTCAGGGGAAATGCATGATGGTTTTTGAGGCCTACTTCCTTTTCAGAGCTGTTTTAGGTTCACAGAAAAATATAGCAAAGTACTGCAAGTTTCTATATACCCCCATCTCCACTCACACACAACCTTTTCTCCTGCACACTATAGGGGTGAATTTCTTACAATCAGTAATCTGCATTGATACATTATCATCATTCAAAGTGCATGGTTTATATGAGGGTTCATTCTTGGTGTTAGTATACTATGGGTTTGCCAATTGTTCAATGACACATACAAATCATGTAGTATCCTATAGAATATTGTCACTGCCCTAAAAGTCTATGGTGTGTCTATTCATTTCTCCCTCTTCTTGTCTCCATAGTTTTGCCTTTTCCAGGATATCACATAGCTGAAATCATATAGAGTATACCCCTTTCAGGTCAGCTTCCTTCACTTAGAGATAAGCATTTATGTTTTCATGTCTTTTTATGGATTGAAAGCTCATTTCTTTTAAGTTTAGCTGAATAATCCTCCATTATCTGCATGTATCTGTTTATGACCTATTTACTTTTATTTCTAGTCCCAATTGCTATGGTGCTGTATTTTTTAATTTCACATTTTCAAGAGAAATCCTGGATTGCTTCAGATCATCCATGAGAGAAAAATGTGGCAGCTTCCAATTGGAAATCCATTTTAGCTATGTGAAACTGGGCTTGTTTCACATTTAGGGGGAATGGTTTATGAAAAATAGCACACAACTCTATAATTTATGCTAACAGATTTATGCCCTATTCTTCTCCATTGAACTCTAAAGAGAAAGCTCTGAAGGCTGTGAGGATACACCCCTAAAGTTATTGACACTGTGGTGTTAATATGCATCAATAAAAGTGCTCATTATGTTATTACTGATTCATGGAAGAAAACCACCTTATATAATTTTATGTTTGTCACCTCTGCCACGGGAGAGGGAGCTTTGTGATTGTGCCCTGGCATGGTGAGCCGCACAAGTCAATTACAGGTGGTGTGTGAGCACCTGCATCCTACACTGGCTCAGAATTCTGAATGGAAGGAGGACCCCTCGCAGTGCAAGGCTGACTGAGCAGGTGCACGGATGTTGGAATACCCCTGATAATTATGCTGGGTGAATGGGGAGGCCTGGCTGATGATCAATGTCTGACAAATATTTTGAGATGGTTTATATGGGTACTCCCTGTCCTTTGTTTCATAACTGTAGCTATTACTGCAGAGACGAAGGTGTCTATGCAAAGAATATTGGATTAAAATTAATGAGGCCTGTGTTCTGGTACCAAGTCTTCCACTAATGAGCTCTAAAACAAATGTCAAATCATAAGTTCTTCAAGATTCATTTCTGCCTCTGTCCAATGGGAATGCTAATGCTTGTTTTACCCATGTTCACCAGTTATTGTGGGGGAAAGTTTCATTCATTTAATATTATGATTAGTAGTCATATTAATATTTCATTAATATAATAAACACTCTGAATTGCCACTAAGTATCAGGACTGTATGTATCACAAGGTAATAGATGGAGAAACACGGTGCAGAATTTTTGAAGACTTGCAGGCTTTTTGAAGGCTGCAAGATATTTTTAATTGTTAAGGTCAGATCAACTCTTTATGTTGCTGTATCAAATAATTGACACTTTTAGATCTCTGCCAGTGATTTATTTGACTACAGGTTACAACTAGAATGATCTTTAGTTGTTATACCTCTGAGAAGATACTCAGAATTATAGAATTCAGTTCCATTTTGTTGTTATTGTGGTTCAAACACTGACCACACAAGAAATTACAAATCTGTATTTTCAGGTGGTTGGCAACCTTTGAGATGAATACAAACCTTTCTTTAGAACAACTTAAGTTCAAGTACAGGGAAAGTACTAACATCCACAGCTTCCCCCTTAATCCCTATTAAAATGAGATTTGAATATAGTACTTTCAAAATTTCTTTAGCCACCCAAAAAGGCACTTCAGTCCACACCATTACTTTTCTCCAGAAAAATCAGGCTTATCCACCTCTCTCCTCTCAAGTAACAGTCCTTACTCACAAATTATTTTCTTCCCAAATATCCTTTATGATCTCCCAGAAAAAGTAAAGATTTAAAAATCATTTTTAGGTCCATCCAAGATTTTATAGCAATATTTTATTTGTGTTCACAGTGCAAGATCAATCTGACACTTTCTCAATTTTTTTTTCTTCCTATGGCATCCAAAACAGTTGTTCACATTCACACTTTGATGTTTCACCATATGCATACTGTGTGCAGCTCTGCTGTTTTAAAATATTTTATTGGTTTTCCTTCATATCTCAACTTTTGATGGGTGTCCTTGAAGAACTTGCATGAAAAAATGTAAATGTGAATGATTCATTCATTTTGAACATATGTATCTATTTTAGGAGATTTTTTTGGGAGATTTTACCCTACATAGAACACACTGTTCTTGCAGAGAAAGTGTTGTATATTACTATTCTACTCGCAGCTGGATTCTGCACATGGATTAACACTGGAAACCTGTGCTTTTTCTAGTCCCTATTTACTTTTAATACAGTATTTATATGCCCCGAGTTTTGCTGGTTGTCAGGGGTGGTCAGTTGTCAAGATTTTCACATTTGGAGAGGATGTCATGTAACATGGTTGAGTGTAAAATCTGGTCTTCCTAAGATTTCTAAGAGACTAGCGTGATTCCTTGGCAAACGGGAAGTTCAAGACCAGGCTTTGTTTGTTACATAAGAGCCACACCCAGTGCTCTTCAGTGCTTCACAGGCATTTTCAGATCTGACTGCTGTCATCTTGCCTCCTCTCAAGTTTTCTAGCAGAGAATTCCTCCGTGGACCACAGGTTCAGGAGGGAAAACACAGCATTTTCCTCCCCAAAAGGGCAAATCTTCATTTAAAAAATTTTCAGAAAAATCTCCAAAGCATTCCATGTGGGTGTCCTTGTGTTTCTTGTAGTATGAATTCTTGACTTGTGTGTTCTAATAAAGAGGAGTGAACGAATCTTTAACTGTTACCAAATCAGGCAGCTACAGAAAGGAGTGACCCATCTCATTCTAAATTTGCATCTATCAGTGAATAATTAGTGTATAGAAAAAGGTTTGGAAAGCTTTCATTACACTTAAAACTAAAATATCCTTCTATCTTTTGTCATGTTCCATATTTCATAAGATGGTTTTAATGTATTATTACTGTTCCCTTTTTAATTCAGCGAATTAGTGAAATATTTAATGTCAATGTTCTTGTCTTAGAAACTCCCCTTGAAAAGATGTCAGAAAAATGAACTCATCGCCCTGTGATAAAGAATAAGTTCATGATCAGATACTTGCACTGTTTTTCTTGTGCATATAATGCATAAGCACGTGTTCAATCTCACAGTGATGTTGGAAAGCATATATTATGCAGCCTAAAAACTATTTCTGTATTAGATGTTTAAATGCATGAGGATAAGTTCTAATTGCTTTTTGTCTGAAACAGAAACATGGAAGAAGCCTCAGCCCCAGTTTGTACAAAATGTCTGTTGCAACTGAAATCATGTTAGTTCAAAACCGAAAATCATTCCATTTTGTAGAACTGCTGCTACTGGTTTTATCAATAAAGTTTTAGCAGATGGCTTATATGTATATGTGTTAAGATTTCTTGTGTTAAAAAAAGATTCAGTTTTGCAGCATCAACATGCAAATTTTATGGGACCAAATGATACTGCTTATTTTAGTATATACAAAAACCATTAATTTCAAAACCATACCAACTGCTGACAACTATATGAGAATTCTATGCATTACATTTATGATGCATATAATTTAGTTTCAAGGTTTTGTGAGCTTTTATGGTGAGCACATATACAAATCAACATATCAGCTCAAATGCAAACTAGTTTAAAGTATTGAACTTAAAATAGGAATATCAAGTGGATAAGAGACTAAATAATGATAAATATTACCTGAGCTAAGTAAACTTCATAGAATAGTATTCCGAGAATGAAAATCATAGGTGTTCATGTACAAATACAAAGGTAATTCTTCCCCAGGAGTCTCATCTAGAGCGCTTTTGCCTTTATGTACCTCATGATCTAATAAGTTTATAAGGCTCAGGTGCACCAAGGTAGAGGTAGACAGAGCCAGGCTGTTGTAATCAGACACTTTTATAGCAGTAAAATCATGGCTGATGCTCCCAAACAAAAGAGAGAAGACCAGATTGTGCAGATGTTTCAAGGACAATTTGTTGTCATCATTTTTATATACTGCTAATTGAAGCCATTAATGCTACCTGTAATAACTCTAAATATCAGTGAATTCTTATAGGAAAATTCACTTCTTGCTAATTCGAGATGCTTTTGCCCATATAGCAGCCTCTCAGGGACTGGGGCTGGTTTTGTGACTTGGCCATTTCTGAAGGAATCAGTATATTGCCATGCAAATAGGGGAGGAAGAAAAGGCACAAGAATCAAATGATCCGTTTTAGGGGTCAGCTTTAGAGGTTATAAAACATCATTTCTGCCCAAACTCCATTGGCCAGAACGAGTCACCTGCCTCCGCCTCTATTTAAGATGCTAGGAATCGTAGTTGACTTCTGTGTCCAGGAATATGAAGCTTTTTGGGTGAGAATCTTCTGGTCAGTATCTGGCACACATCTTTTTCCATTTTTTTCTTTTTAAAATAATCTTATTTCCAATGTGGAAATTTGGAGTGTGGTGATTACTTGTGGCAAGTTTGCTAATGGCAGGCTCATTTGTCACATAAGTTCTTGCTAAGCCAGGGAGACAGGAACATTCTAGGCCGATCAGGGGGGTGCGTATTCATCCACAGGCCTTTTGGATGTAGAGCATTTCAACACAGTTCCTGGGTGCTGTGGCAAATGAAGACCATCTATGTTCACATTTCCCAAACCACAGGGCAAAGCGACTGGAGTTGGTGGACTGAGCAAGGTCAACATTTCTAACATACCAACTCATGTGTGGCATCTTGAAAGCACCAACACAGATAATACAAACTGATAAGCAAAAGAAGCAGAATGCAAAGGAAACAGGTTTCCCAGTATATTGATATTGGAATACATCATCTGCACACCCTAAAACTCGACAAATGATTGTCATCTTCTGATGTTCCTTCAACAGACTCACCCATCCTTAAATATTCAAATAGTTGAGCCATCCATCAATAGCTCTGCTTCTTTTGTTTGACTTTTGTCTTTTGTTGTAGTTTTTCAAAATCTTAAGCATCTTGAGTGGCACTTTATTAATGAATCAACTCACATTTTATGTCTTGGGAGCTTCATAGTATCCTCACGGTTTCTCTGGGGTTGCTCTGAAAGATTCATGGAATATGGCTCAAGGAGAAGCTTGGTGACATTTCAGAACTTTGATCATTTTTTTAAAAAAAGGATTGATTGGCTGGCGCTGCGGCTCACTAGGCTGATCCTCTGCCTGCAGCACCAGTACTCTGTGTTCTAGTCCCAGTTGGAGCTCCAGTTCTGTCCATGTTGCTCCTCTTCCAGGCCAGCTCTCTGCTGTGGCCCGGGAAGGCAATAGAGGATGGCCCAAGTGCTTGGGCCCCTGCACCCACATGGGAGACCAGGAGAAACACCTGGCTCCTGGCTTCAGATCGGCGTAGCGCCAGCCGTAGCGGCCATTTTGGGGGTGAACCAACGGAAGGAAGACCTTTCTCTCTGTCTCTCTCTCACTGTCTAACTCTGCCTGTCAAAAAAAAAAAAAAAAAAAAGGATTGATTTACGTATTGAAAAGCAGGATGACAGAGAAAGGGACACACACACACACACACAAATCTTCCGTCTGCTAGTTCACTCCCCAGATGCCCATAACAGCCAGGGCTGGGCCAGGTTGAAGACAAGAGTCAGGAAGTCCATCCAGGTCTCCCATGTTGGTGGTACAAACCTAAGTACTCAGGCCAGCACCTGCTGCCTCCTAGGGGCATTAACAGGAAGCTGGATCAGAACTTCAGAGGAGCTGGGATTTGAACCAGGCACTTGGACATGGGACCTGGACATTCCAAGTGGTAGTTTAACCTGCTGCCCTACAACACACACCCTGTGAGCTGTGATGAATTTTAATATACATTCCATAACATAATAAAACATCTCCTTTTTAGCAAACAGGGTAGGAGCCAGGATTAGTATCACATCTGTGGTCATCTGGAAGAGGTAAGATTAGAATTTGGTTAAATTCTAAGGTACTGTGGATTATATGGTATACTAATATGTACTAACTTATTGTGTGAGTGGTAGAGAGACAGAAAAATCTTTCATCTGCTGGTTCGCTCCTCAAATGCCTGAAACAGCCAGGGCAGGGCCATGCTGAAACCAGGAGCCCAGAACTCAATCCAGGTCTCCCACATGGCTGGCAGGGACCCAAGTGCTTGAGCCAGCACTAGCTGCTTCCCAGGGTGTACATTAGCAGGAAGCCGGAATTGGAAGCCGAGTTGGGACTTGAACCCAAGAACTCCACTATGGGATGTGGGCATCCCAAAGGCCCACCTCAGTATTTTAATACTTTAAATCCAAAATTGTTGGGTGAAATAATTTGTTCTAATCACTTATCCAGAGCACTGAGGAATTTATAACATTAAATCTGCAAACATAGTTCATTAAACATTAGACTCGTACCTGTGTTATAGTTCCAGTTTTTTACCCAGCAATTCTGTGATCTTCAGATTACCCTGACCATCTCTCACGTCTTTCAACGTCTGTTGTATTTCTTGAGGTGGTTCCAGATGAAGAGGGGATCTGGCAATTATTTGGGAAGTTAGATTGACAGAAAAGGTTTCCAGGTCTATTCACAGATAGTATAATACTAGGAGTATTGTGCATATTGGTCCAGTTAGCTGGCTTTTCCTCTAACAGATGGTTTCTCCTCCTCCTCCTCTTCCTCTCCCCTTTTCCCTCCCCTCCTCCTCCTTTTTCTTCTTCCTCTTCTTCTCTTTGGCTTTATAAAGATCTATGAAGTGTTTTTAGATAATTCGTGGGGAAATGTATGTTATGAAAATATGGTGCATGGATTTAAATTGGTTTTACACCAAAATGAACATCCTTCAATTCCATTTTCCCATGAACTGTTTTGAGGTACCTTCATAATACACATAATACATAATTCCCCCAGGTAGAGGAGACTCTTCAGGAGAAATGAAGCAGTTCAGCTTGGAGGATTCATACCCACACTGGAAAGACATGGAGAGAAGGGAGTTGGGAAGGCATATAAATGACTTTAGGTTGAGTATTGCCCAGTACTATTGAAACCAGATAGTGAGCTTTAGCAAATGCCCTAAGAAGGAAAAGAAATTCCTGTATAAACACAATGTCTCATTGAGGGCAAACTCCTGCTTTCTATATAATAACCCTTCCGCCAATCCCCATCTTCAGCTTGAGTGACTGAAAAGCCAGCAACTCCTGGCTTGTGTAAGTTTACTCATTCATCGGTGCACAGCTGCGGTCAGAAGGGGACCTCAGGCAGGACGGTTCTATTTCCAGAGGCCCTGGTTGTGCTGGACATCAGGGACACACTGCTCACCAGGCAGAATGGACCTGAAATCTGGTGCGCTGACTGTTGTGAAATGGGAGTGGTTGCGTGATTTGGGAGTGCAATTAGTGGGCTCATCCATCTACTCAGCGGGAGGCTGCTAGGGAAAGCCGGGAGGAAGTGGTGTTTCAGCTGAAGCTTGAGGGCTGAGGAGGAGGAAGCCAGGTGAAAGGGAGGAAGCAGAAACAGCAGGTACAGGACACCAGAGGCAGGTGGGAAGTGCTCCCATCCAAGGGGACTGAAACAAACCAGCCCAGTGTGACTGTGCCTTGAAAACAGCAAGGTGCGAGGTCTCTGGGTGGGCAGCAAGGTAGGGCTGATGGAGACCGTCCCACCTTTCTCCCCTTGCCACCAAGGAGAAGGGATTAGCAGGGGTGTGATCATTCTGGCTGTGCGCCATGCCAGCCTAAAACCTACTTGTCATTCTTGATCGCTGAGACTGTGTCATCGCCTCGCCAGCCCACTCCTGCTTGCTGGAGTTTCTTCGGGCGGTTTGGTTTTAGCTTGTCGGCTTTTTAAACCTTGAGGCTGACACACTGAGCAGTCTTCTTGCCAGAGGCGGGAAGCAGGCACCAGGTGCCTGTGGACCAGGGCCCCCGGGGGCTGTGTGGGGGTCACTGGGGGTTGGCCTTTGTGCCACCCAGAATGCCTGCCTTCCCAGCCAGCAGCGTCACACCGGTGCAACCCTGCCCTGCTTCCAAAGAGAAACTTCTTCCTTTTTAATTACTTCCCCGAGGTGCTGTCTTCCTTCCAGTCCGACTCTGTAGGGAACCAGAGAAACAATAGACTTCCTTCTTCAGTGTCTTTCTCTCTCTGAGGGGCAACGTTCCTACATTTTTCATCTTCCTTTCTTTCCCTTGGCTCACTGGCTCCCCAACTTTGCCCACCTTGATGTTGTAATCATGCCTCTCCCCCCAGAAAGCATTCTTGTTGAACCAGCAACCGCAACAAACGGCGGTTGCAACAAGCAATGGTAAAGAGAACAGGAACACATAGCTCAAGGGAGCTATCAAAGCAAACACGAACATTTGGGTACATTTAGACTACAGTGCACGTGCCTGAAACATGCCTACCTTGTTCAGTCTCTTTTGTGAAAAGTCCCATGACTTTTGTGCGTTTCTAAGGAAGCTGTCACCATAGCCTGAGGTTTGAATGAGCCATTGGATCAAAAGGAAGGACTTCTAACTGTATAAAAGGGCATATTTCACACGATGGGAACTTTTTTTCTGAAATCTTCAGCACACACAGATGGCACCAAGAAGAATTAGAATCCGGGATGATTTTCATGGATTAGTTAATATTTTTTCTTTTCATTTTCTACCAACTGCTCCAACCTGCAGATGCACACAGGAGCACTTTGGGGAGGGGAGTCCTGGAAGGCAGAAGATCCAATTCTGCACCATGTGGCCCCAGGTCTCACTCCAAGGCGAGAGGTTCCCACTGGAAGTACTGGGCTCTGAAAGAACCCTGCAGCTTCCTTGACCGCTGAAAGTGCCAGTCCACCCCCTTGCCCCATCCTCAAACCCGACCTCCACAGGAGACACCCCTCTGCAGGGCCCGCAGCGAGTAGCCCAGGCCCCTGTGGGCACAGCGCCCATCCTCTGCCCAGGCCCACACCTCTCGGCCACCCCAGCTCCGCAGCCCACTCTCCCCTACCCAACTTCGGCGAGCGCGGCCGGGACCCCCTGTGCCAGGGGCTCTTTGTTCTGCCTGCCTGCTCTCCACCTTGCTCGCGGCAGCCCCCGCCAGCGCACCCAACCTGCGGGAAAGTTGCTCCCGAGCTGTGGAGGGGCGTCATCGCCTCCTAGCAACGCTCCTAGCAACCGGGTAACATCTGCTCCCTCCGGTCCAATGCGCGCGGAGCAGAGCGGCGCGCCCGCCTCGCCTTCCGAACCCCGAGCGAGCGAGAGGGCTTCAGAGACTGGAGGCACGGACCTGCAAGGAGCCAGGGCTGCCCGCCGCCGAGCCGCAGTCGCCGCCGCTGCCTCTGGCGTCGCTGCCGCTGTCAGCGCCCGTCTGAGGGGTGACAGCGCCGCAGAAGCAACGGCGAGCAACCAGCCGCGCGCCTACACGAAGCAGGTGCACGCGCGATCTCCTGGTGAGTGGAGTCAGCCAGCAAGGTAAGTCTGGACCCACCCAGCCAGGAGCCTGCCTGCTAGGTTCAGCTAAGACTGCTCTCGTCGAGGGGTGGGGGTGAGGGGGAACAGGGACCGGCTCCGGGATCCCACTGCGCCCGGAGCCTTTTGCACAGTGGCCAGCTGCTGGTGCCAAGCACTGATCTGAGATTTTTAAAATCTCCAGATCGGTTCTGGAGGACCCCTCCTCCTCCCTGCCGGGAGGGTTAACGCTCGGAAGTTTTCAGTTCTTGTTTGTCCTTTGACTTCGCTGCCTGTGTGCGGGCGGCTAAGCCTACAATGCCACAGGGTCGTCTCCACTAATGGAATCAACACGTATGGAGGTCGCATTCTTTTGAGGCCGTCCTCTGGAAAGGATCCATTTGGCCGGGGGCAGCCGATCTCTGTTACTCACCCTCCTGAAAAGTAACCATGGTAACTCACCTCTCTTGACGGGATCCTCCTTATTGGCTGCCTGTCTTCCCTTGGAAAGCTCATCTCTCTAAATATAGAAGATGATGAGATCTGCAAGCATACATCCATGCAGAAAAGGTGCACTTAGACAAGGTCCTTTAGGGAAAAATCTGTCTTCCAAGAAAAATGTAGCGTATGGCTATTTCAGATCCCAGGAGAAAGAGTGTGAGTTCCGCAGAAATACTGAGTTAGTCTGTTTTGAGTCGACTGGGGCTTTGTTGCTAAAGTTATACAACATCTGGCATTTAAAAACAAATTAAGGCTCTCTATGATTTTTTTTTAAATCAACCTACTGATAATCTTCAAAAAAATAGTCTCTCAAGTAAATAGCTGGTCCGATAGTTATTCAATTATTTCCAGATTTCTTAGTCAAGTTCTGAATCCTCATGTTTAAACTTAAATCTGGAGAACATTAAAGCGGTTGTGGGTTTAGAGGTTTGTCTTCCAATCTGGTCCAGATCAACCTCACCTCAAACGCCGTAGACAGGGTGGTTCTGTTGCACACCTCCCTCTGGCTTGTCCACCAGCTCATGTCTGTGCAGCTCTGACTCATCTGACATTATTTGTGTCTGTCTCCCTGTTTTATGGTCTCAGGTAACCATTCATGAGCCTGAGGCTGTGAGAAATGCTTGCTGGGCAGTGGGGAACTCTCGCCAGATTTTCTGAAGCTGTCCTAGAAATACACTTTTCAGACTGATTCAGCATCACCAGGTAATCACTAGCTTGGAAGAAATGACTGATTCAATATATATCCAGAGAACTAAATGCTAATGTAGTGTTACCATAACTTACAAGATCAATAGGACAGCTTGTTTGTAGAGATGGTTGCTGGGTGGAAGTCGATAGAGGTTTCCTGTAGAAAGGACATTTGTGGGCTGGCAGATTTTCCCCTCTTAAACCCATGGGCATAGGGTGGACCAAATTAGGTAGCCTGGCTCTGGCTCTGGCTCTGGCTCTGAATACCAGCAGGTGGAAGTGTTTGAGAATATGGTGTGTCTGAATGGGGGGAAGGAAGAGAACTCTGCAAGTTGCAAAAGGAATGGGTAGCGATGTTTTCAGTTTAATTTGCATTAAAGTAATGATGATAAAAATGTGTAAGTATTAAACTCAATTTCCAACTCAATTTTGAAGACGGAATGCAACCTTTAAACAAACATTCTGCCTGCTGGCATTGAATAACTTTCCCATGTACTGAGCTACCCAGGTGCAATTCCTGTGGGTAACCAGCTTGGCAAATCACAACCAAATTCATGAAAATAGACCATGCTGTATTTCTTCCCAATCCTTAACCTCCTTTAGAAAGCTAAATGCTTGGACAGTTTTATTCAGCAACCTATTTGCAAATCTATCCTAGGGTAGTAGTATAAATTTGTGAATATCAGGAGACGTTATTGATCTCTGTAGTCATGTTTTGAATTAGCAATTTTAAGCATCAAAGATGACCATGAGAATGCTGGATTTTATTAGCCTTTTGCACCACCCACTCTTTTTCCTTTCCCCATCATAATAACTAAATTTTTGGGGGGAGGAAGAGGTCCATGAAGACCAATACTGTTCAGTGGCATCTGCCGTGTGATATGTTCAGAGCTGTGTTCATACTACCGATCTGAGGAAAGCTCCAGTAAGCCACAATTATTGGTTCTTGTATATGTATTAGTCTTGCACATTGGTAATTTACACACATCCTCTTACATAATCTGCATAGAAGTTTAAAGTCACTCAACATCCCTGAAATTTATCTGAAGCAGTCAGCCTTCCTGTTGAGACCACTGTCACCTGGAACAGATCAAACGAAAGAGCCTCTTAAATTTTAATCTTGAGTCTATCAGGAGTGTGTAATGTATGGAATCCATGTTGTTCAATTTCAATGAACATGGCTTGTTTCAAGAGCCATTCATCAGAAAATGCCGTCATATAGTTATTTAGCTTTGAATAAAAATGAATGGCATTATTATAGTGGAAACTTTTAACCCTAGAGACATTTGGTGGATCCAAAGTTAGAGTGTGGAAAACAGAATTCTGCCTGTTTGTGTTTGAAGACTTAGTCATCTTCCTCCGTGTGCATGGAAGCTGAACTTGCGCTTATCATGGGTCATAAAGAGGGTGAAAGGCTTGGATGAGGTTGGAGTCAAGGCAGTTAAAACTGAAATCAAGTCCTAACTGCAGCCTTTTTTCTTCCCATTGTCTACGGGGAAGTGTTCAGATGTGTGTGAACATTCCATGTTCAAGTTTATGTCCATGGGACCTTGATGGTATTTAGAAGACGCCTTGAAACACAGAGAAAAGTGGGAAACTTTTATCCAGAAGGTGTGGGTTTCACATTTAGAGTTTCTGTGATGACTCCTGCATCCCAACAGTAGCTCTTAGGTCAAGAAATGACCAATTCCGATTGCTCTCGGAAACTGAGAGAAAACTAGAATGAAATAATGATCCCAGAAGCAGAGGTAGAGGCAAGTCAGTCAACACCATTCAGCACTAAAACCAAGGAAGAACAGGATTTTGGGGCTTTTGGCAGTGCCAATCCTTGTCAATTCCACTTTTTGAAAAACCAATAAATAGTGAGTTAGCATACAGTGTTTCTTTTTTTAAATCAAAAAAATTTTTTTTAATTTTCCCTAATTAAAGTATATAGATGGGCCAATAACAGAACCATTCATGTTGCTACAATAATTCTCCATGGGGGTGGTGGAGGTTATTCATTCAGAACACTAAGTCTTTACTGGTAATGTGCAGGGTATTGTGATACAGCTCTCCATTTAGAAAATTGAAAAAGCTCATTTTTATATTGTAAATTGTAGGAAGTACAGTGAAACAAAAATCGTAGTAGAAAAGATGCAAGAGTCTTCTAAATACCAGTGATGCTGAGATTGGGAGGAGCAACAAGTTCGAGGCCAGAAAATTCTCTCTGCATGAGTGGACAAGGGGTCTTCAGAAAATTCCCAGAACTGTGCATTAGGAAGGAACCACGCATAGATATCAAAATTCTTGTGCCAAGATAAACATAACTGTCAATTCCTTTTCCTTGAACTTTTAAAGTACCCCCTTGCATCAGGATATGTGTTATTTTTAAGTGATTATCAAAAAGGAGCATGGGTTAGGAACATCAAGAAAAGCAGGGGATATTGCAAAGACAGCCAGGACTCAAGAGCATACCCTCCATTGCTTTGACATGTGCTATCCATTTTGTCACTTTCTGACTCCCCAATCAAAGTTTGGGGTTCAGACCACCCACTAAATAGATTTTTTGAGCCTGAACACAAAACACCTGAATGCACCACACACAGCTGAGTTTAGAATAAAGGCATCCTGTGCTTGAAGATCTTTTCCACATAAGAACAGCTTAAGGTGGGGACAGAGAATTACCCAGGTCTAAAGCAAATTCTCATAGATTCTTAGTGAGGAAAGTCAATGGTTAGTTCTATCATAAGATTTTCTATAAATGCTCTGGGATGCCAGAAGCAACACTGATCTGAATAGATGATTTTGTTGATATACCTGAATGTGGGGTGTCAGTGGTAGGGCTATCTAAATACAGAATGATTGGGAAGGTATAAATTAGGTTATTTTTCAAAGGGTCACTGTCATCTACAGGTTAAGAAGCCCCACCCCCTTGCTGATCACTAGTCCTGGGCATGTGAGGAAGTTGTAATCTCTCCCTAGGTATTCGTGGTGAGATATTTCTTGGCATCAATATCCAGCTATGTGGTTGCCTGGCCAATTTTCTGAGTAATTTCCACTTTCCAAGGTAAAATGTGGGATAAAATAGCATAATCCCTCACAACAATGGGAGCATTTCTAAGGGTTGGTAGATCACAAAGTTTGTCCATGAAACCTACTGCAGTTGGCCCTGTTATTGTAGACACAGAATATGGTAGACATTGATTTTGGTGCAACATCTAAGCTGATCTCATGATCACCCCATGGCTGGTTGTATCTCATTTGACTGTGTTCTCTTTGGTGAAGAGACCATCATCACCAGGGGAACAAGGTAGGGTGGTGGAGCTGGTATTTATGTAATGTCCCATGCCTGTGCTTGGGGCTTTCTCAAAGGACACGGAATATAAGAGCAGACAATGCTGGTGGTAGCTTGAGAAATGCTTCAAACTCATTGGCTTTTAGTATCCATGGAAATTGCTATGAAAACATTCCAAGAGCTGCAACTTGTTGGTAATCCTAAACTGCCAGAAAAATCAATATTGGTGGTTGGGGTGGATGATCAATCTGAGGAAACAGATTGCTGCATTGACTCAGCGCTAAGAGCTGGCACTGAGTTGTGCTACTGCAAAGCACCAGCAAGGAGCTGGGCGAGGGGTGATGCCACAGAAGGCAGGGGGCTGGGGGATATGCTTCCACAGTGGAAGGTCTTAGAAGGTGCAGAGCATGATAGCCATGAGCTTCACTCTTGTCTACCTTCTTGAATGCACTCCTCAATATCTCACACAAGCTGTGCTTAACCCTGCAGAGAGGATCAAAGTCCAATAGATAACATTTGCTGCTGGGTACAATTTGTATTTATGATTTCAAAAGTGAGGTGATTGCCATAAAATACTCACTGAGCAGAAAACATAAGCACATGTGGCAAGCACTGAACATGTACTTTTCAAATAGGAGCTCATATAATTCACATATAACAATATTTTAAGAACATTTATGAGAAAATGGAGTTAAAAGATGGGTTTATTTTGATTCCAAAATTTTTAAAATGCATGCATAGTATTTTCATCATTTGCATTTTCCATGAACTTGTTAAAGATTCCTTATATGCATGAAGTTCCACTTGTTTTTTTTTTTCACCAAAAAATGAACTTATTTCTTAATTACATTTCTGTGAACTTTTTGGGGTACCCTTGTATAGCTAAAGGAGTTTTATATTCTCCCTTGATTTAACAGATGAGAAAACTCAGGTTCCTGGAGGGTAAATATCTTACCCTAAGTCACTAGAAAATAGATTGTAGAGTTGGTGTTGGGATCAGTAAGACATCGGTACGAGGTTATGCTGCAGTGTTGTGCCTTTTTAAAAAATGTATTTATTTATTTGAGAGACAGTGCATCCACTGGTTCACTCCCCAAATTCCCACAATGGCCGGGGCTGAACTGGGCTGAAGCCAGGAACTGGGAACTTGATCCAGGTCTCTCATATGGACGGCAGGGACTCATCTATTTGAGCTGTACCTGCTGCCTGTCAAGGTCTGGTTTTTTATTTTTATTTTTTTTAAAGATTTATTTATTTATTTATTTGAAAGTCAGAGTTACACAAAGAGAGAAGGAGAGGCAGAGAGAGAGAGAGAGAGAGGGATCTTCCATCAGCTGGTTCACTCCCCAATTGGCTGCAACGACTGGAGCTGCGCCGATCCGAAGCCAGGAGCCAGGAGCTTCTGCTAGGTCTCCCATGAAGGTGCAGGGGTCCAAGGATTTGGGTCACCTACTGCTTTCCCAGGCCATAGCAAGAGAGCTGGATCAGAAGTGGGACAGCCAGGTCTTGAACCGGCGCCCACATGGGATGCTGGCACTGCAGGCGGCAGCTTTACCCGCTATGTCACAGCCCTGGGGTCTGTTTTAGCAGGAAGCTGGGTTCAAGAGTCTGAGTTTGGCATCAAACCCAGGCAGTCTGATGCAGGATGCAGGATGCAGTAATCTTAACCAACATCTTAACTGCCAGGCTAAATGCCTGTCCCTGGAGTATTTTCGGCCATGTGAATAATGAGACTGAC